TGACACAAAATTTAAGTCGGCTGAACACAAGAAACTTAGCTGGCCGAGGTGAGAGAAGGCTCTCTTAAGCAGCAGACTCTGCAAAGGCTGACTAGAACCCATAAGGCGGCCCAGCATAAAAAGTGAAATCAAGCGTGAGAACCAAGGGATAGCCCGAAATGAAGACAGGATGGAGCAAGGGAAATCCTACAGTTAGCAACACTCAAGATCTAGCAGATGGTGTCACTGTGGCTCTGGATAATCTGCCACTAAGAACAAGACATGCAGCCCATGGTCAGGGTCTAAAGGGCGTCCAAATCTCAGAGGAAGGAGTGATAACCAGGCAGGGATTTCCCAAGCTAGAGAATTTGGTTAAAGAACAGTCCTCGCAGAGAAACATGGAGCTAAGCAAGACTAACATGGTAGGTGAGTAGAAGAAAGTACACAAAGAGGGAGAATGAGAAAAGGAATGATAAAATCCAGATACCAGAATCTATTCAGAAACCAACCTCTGACATGCCAGAGGCCAAGTCTATTGGCAACAGGGATTCAACTTTAACAATCTCCAATGACAGAAAAGGGACACCTAAACTACTACTGCCTTTCACAATGGAAATTCCCTTCTGTACTCAAGTGAAATGTACCAGCTAAGAAAAAGAAATCAAACTCACTGTCATTGTAACGGAGTCGGAATCAACTCACAGCTGACCCTCTCACGGGTTTTTAAGCTGTAAATTGCAGGAGCGATTACTCATCTTTCTACTGCAGAGCTGCTGGTGGATTCAAACTACCTCCTTAGAGTCAGCACAATATACTGCACCACCAGAGCTCCAAGGAAAACAAAAGCAAAGTAAACAATACAGCAGGATCTGAAGGCATCCAAAGCAATCAAATAGTCCTTACTAGGGAGTGATGCCTTCATAAGTCAGTTCTGACCTCAGTCAGATACTACTGTGTTTTCCCCTACCTTTTCATAGCCTGCTATCTAAGTGTTTGAAACAATAAATTCTAACATGGAACACTTGTAAGTGAACATTTCAGAATTTTAACATCAGCAAATTATATGCTGCAACACTGTACCTATTTATAAAACATACAAAATTCAAAACAAAATACCAACAGTTCTTGGAACGCCAAATACATCCTAAATCAAGGACTATGTACGTATATAAGGAGCAAGAGTTCCAGGTCAAGTTACGAGTGGAACGGTGTCCACAGGAAGGACTAATCTGAATATATAGCAAATCAAGAAAAGCATTCAAGAAAATGTTTATCATTGACACACAGTAGAACAAGGGATAGGAAAACCTGGCATCTAGTTCTGTTTCTCCTCTTTTCACTAGAGTGAAGGTTTGCAAATCATTAATTAGAAATTTTGTTTTATAATATTAATTGCCATTAATGAATTAATGAATTAATTATAGTATCTATTCACTCCTTAGGGTGGCCAAGTGGTAAGAAACTGTGCTGCAATCCCAAAGGCATGCAGTTTGAATCCACCAGATAGTCTGTGAGAGAAGACACACAATTTCTTCTCATGGAATTAACATGCTCTAAAAACTGCTGAAAGGTCTGCTATGGGTTGGTTCCAACTTGACAGCACACAACCACAACAAACAATGCCTTGGAGCTCTGGTGGCCTAGTGGGTAAGGAGAGGCACTGCCAACCCAATGGTAGGCTGTGCAATTTACAGCCTTTGAAAATCCACTGGAAGATCAGCTATGAGTCAGTTCCGATTCAACAGCGTTGAAAGGGAGGGTCAGCCTTTTATTGTGTATTGGCTGTTTCTATTTAGAATTCAGTCTTTCCTGAGGAGGTTGATTTCTGGCAACTGCTTTTCTGAGTACATCTGCTGTGGCATTTTCTCTCAGTTATCAAATCCAGAGGACCAAGGCCAAATACTTTCAGAGAATTAGTCCCCCAACTAACAGCTAGAGACATTGGGACTCCTCTTCCACAGTCACACCTGAAGGTATAAATTTATGTCCCAACACTCAGACTTTCCTCATCCCCAAGCCTGTCAACCACAGCCAGATGACAGCCTTCATTTCCTCCCCTCCCTAACAAGGTCAAGATCCATGATCTTGCTGTGCAGAGGCCACACTGGACTGTGGGGCTCTCATTCCACCATACTGCTCCAGGGAAATGGGAAGGAAACGGCTGATAGTACTCACAAGGACAGGGCTAGGGGAAATACTGGAGATTCCCTGTCAGGGCGATTAGTACTGTTAGCTGCCAATGACTCCGTTTTGACTCATTTCCACCCATGTGTGCACAGGAGGATTTTCCTGGTTGCTGTCATAACTGAGGCAGATCCCCGGACCTCTCCTTCCACCATACTGCTGGGGGATCTGAACCACCAACCTTCAGAATAGCAGCATAGAACAAATGGTATCACTTAGGGACCGTAAATCATGATGAGAGTAACTTCTACACAAACCAGTGATGACTCTAGGGACTCTTATAGTAATAAAGCATAAATGAACTCCTTCCTTTATGCTTGAACTACACAAGTCAATTCCAATGTCTGAGACACCAACTTCACAGCTGTGGGAGCTCTGGTGGTACAGCCAGAAAGAGCTGCATTGTTAATTCAAGGGCCACATCTCTCAGCAGTTTCTTCCATTTGCGTTATAGCCTTAGAAACCCAATAGGGGGTCAGCCATGAGCTGGTTACCACTTGATGGCAATGAGCCACTTAGAGCATGAGGATGTAGAGTGGACATATCTAAGTTCACCTCTACCCCAGGATGCTATGCCTTTTTGATTGTATACACTAACAAAGGAGCCCAACAATTGTTCTGCTCAGGGAACCAGGTCACATTCTCTGCTGGGGAGGAGCCCAGGACTGGAAGAGCAAGAGTGGCTACCAGGCCACAACCCTAATAAGAGAGATGAAAAGAAGAAAGCCAGGTACTGGAACCTGGACTCAGCCTGTCCAGCCTCTGCATGATTATTGCAAGTGTTTAATTCCCAAGTGTGAGAAAAGACACCAGATCTCAGGTCAGAAGAGATGAGCGTCTTTCTCCTTGGTTAAGATCTGTATGGCTCTTTGTGTATGTAAGTGTGTTGGTGGACTGTGGGGTTTTTCAGTCCTCGCTGACCAGCAGGTACACGCAGTTCCCAGGAGAGGAAGCCCTTGAGGCAGAGCCTGTGTGCATTCCTCCCAGGCAGTCAGCACCCTGTGCCTTCCCAATGAACCTCACCTGGGGGTTGTCCATGTACCAGAGAAGACAATTGGCCTGGGTGTCCAGAATAAAGTATCTTCGCAGAAACTTGCCGCTGTTCTCATTCTCTTCGATGTCCAGAAACCCACAGATTCGGTTCTGCCGATCCACATAAGGCATTCCTGGGCTCTGCTCACATCACCTGCATGGAAGGAGGGAGGTACTGGTGAGGAGAGAGTGAAGAAAGTCTTGGAGGGACTCCCCTGGCTTGACTCATCTCTGTAAGAAGCCAGGATGAATTTATTTTTACTCAAGCACCAAACTTTCTCAAAACCTCTATCAACCCATAAGCAGACATCAAAATCCATAAACACATCTTTAATTAACTTTACTGAGATTCTACTATATGCCAAGCTCAGCATTAGGTAGTTGGCACACATAGTGTAAGCCTAGACTTTGACTCGGGGTCCAAGGTTCAAGTTCTACTAACTCTGTGACCACAAACTATTTCACCTTTCTGCACCTCAAGTTCTGCAACTGTAAAATGAAGAGGATAAGAGTAATTATACTTCATAATATTTTGGTGAGTAGTGCTTGGCACATGTTAAACCGTTCAAACACAGCAGCCATTACTAATACTCTTTACAAAAACCTTGTCAAGTAGGTCATAAACCAACTTTATAGATGAAGAAACTCTATCAAGGAGGATATAAGTGCCAATTCAAATACTTGGATGAAATTCTGCCAAAATTTCAGTCAGAAAGGGTAGCAGTTCTGGCCCCATGAAGATCCCAAAGGATTAAATCTGAGGGACTCTATCTCCCTGTCCAAACAGCACTTACTTAACTTTGCTGCTACCCAGGAAGTACTTATAACTGAAAGGATGAGGAGGGAAAAAAGAAACCCCAGCTCCTGAACAAGGTTCACTGACTCACAGCAAGGGTCCCTTCTCCTCAGGATGGCTCTGTGAAGGGCAAAAAGAGGGGACAGGAGCCCGGTGCTACCCAAGGAGGAGGAACACTTTTCAACAATGAGACACACCCAACCTGGTCACCTAATTAATTACAGCTAATTGCCAATTAATTAGAAAACATCATACGCCATTTAGTCTTCCAAGGGCAGACACCACCCTTGCCTGGGCTCTGCTCAGCTTCAACAAAGCAAAATTCACAGTGGCCCACACGCACCATTGTCTTCACTCTACAACCAAACCATGTTGTGAGATGATGGGCTTGCAGCCATTCGAAAACTACAAGGCTTCAGCAAGGAAGCTACCTTGACATCATCCCTCTAGCCCTGCAGGCTCTTTCAAAACTCACTGCAGAACAGACTCATAAGTGACTCTCCAGAGGCTTTCAGAGGCTATAAACTGCACAAGAGATTAGTCATCTTTCTCTAGCAGCTGAAACAGCTGGCAAATTTGAACTGCCTATCTTTAGATTGACGGTGCAACTCCTTATCCACTAGACCACCAGAGCTTCCAGGCCTAAAGAGGTCAAGTCCACAGCAGCAATGAGCCATATTCTCATGAGATCAGGCTAATTTTCAGGGCAGCCAATGCTGCTATGTTCCGTTGTCTCCTACCTCCATAGGGTGCCTTGCCATGTTGAGAAGTAGCCCCAAGAACAAGAGTTCCAGAACATAAGAATATTAATGAGGCCCTGATTCAAGGTAAAGTCAGACCAGAATTCCAACTGCAGCAGACAACTCAGTCAGAAGGAACATAGGTCAAGATCCCATTTTCTCAAGTCGCTGGGTAATGAGAGCCAGAGGAACAAAGCCACCAGAGAAACAGAAGAAAAATGAAACTGCATCACTGAAAGACAAGTACAAGGAGCAGAAGCAAAGAACAAGGTGAGAGAAGATCAAATGGTGGAAGGAAGGGGTTTGGGAAAGACAGCCAAGAAGAAGGAAGCAGCACTATAGCAGAAGTGGGTGAGCCTGGGGAGGGGAGGGACACCCCACACACAGCATCACCTATCCTACAGGTACCAGCACACCTGCAGGCAGGCCTTCCCAAACTAATCTTCCTATCTCAGCTCCAATTTCACAAGGGAGCAACTCTTGAGTTCTGGAAAGGCAAAGAGATGAGCACAAGCCAAAACCCAGGAACAAATATCATAGGAAGAACTTAAGTCTCTTCATCACACTGAAGCTTAGGAGTCTTCTAGCAGACCTAAGAGATGGGCCTGGCATTGGTGGAGGTAGACAGGAACACGTCCTAAAAAGGAGATGCTGGTCCCCTACGGAGAATCAGGGGAGATGTGCTCTATGCAGAAAGGCTGGGCCAGCCTCACAGAAGGGATATACAGCAAGCTGCCTGATCAGGGTGAGAGAGATGGCCTGCCCATAAGAAACCTAAGTGAATTTCCTCATCTGCACAGTCAGGATTTCCAAGGGTTGCAAGACTGTTGCTACTCCTCCAACGGGTCGAAGACAAAGCACTGAAATGGTCATGCAATAAGAAAGCAGACGTCTTTAGGTATAGTTGGTAAGCATAGTATACAATTAAATACTGGCTTTCAAATTTTCCATTTGCAGTTTACAGGATTAACAAATGTCATTCTTTTTCTCAAGTCAGAGGCTAGAAGGGATTCTATAATTCTTGGCCCCCTACACACACCTTTACTGGAGGGACTTCCCATTTGCTTGAGTGAGAGAAGACCCTAAAGTGCCAAAAGGAAAGGTAGCAGTAAGAATTGTGGTTACGACTTCTCCTGACTATGTTTCTAGCCCCAGGAAGAAGGAGGTGGGGAGGAACTGTTCAGATGTCCTGAGAAGCAGCTGAGTCATAGAGCTGATCAAGACTGTGGGAGGTGGGAAGAAGGATCAGCTGCAGGAGAACCAAGCATCACACAGAAATGTGGTTATAACTGGCTAACCCACATAGAAGCAATACTCAAAAGAAGGTGTGCAAACCACAAACCTTCAATTCCATGCCCAAATCCCCTTGCCGTTCAGGACGATCTTGGTTTGTATACTACTTGTCACAAGAGCTGCCACGATTTGGCAAGAGAGTCAACTACTCTACTCCCTAAAATCCCTTCTCCTTGCCTTCTCAACCATGTCACCATTATATTCCAAGTCTTCCCTGGCTTTTCATCTTTTTTCTTCTTTTAACCAAAAAGTTCCTGTAATACAACTAACTCTGCCATCTAGCTCCAGTCTCCACTAATCACTGGAGATAGCAGGAAAGGAAAGTGTTAGCAAAATACTTAGGTGGAAGAAACAAAGCTGGATGCAGCAGTAACTATCATCCAACAACTGGCAAAGCTTCAAAATGTCCTTTCCAACTCTCACAAACACCCCTCAAGTTAACGTAGTTTTAACCTGTTTCTGAATTCCAGAAATCACTTGCTAACTTAAATTTTATTTTAAACTGAGTTCCCCAGCGTAAAAATATTGGATGAGGAGCAGTAATCTGTCTGGTAGTTTGTCCTGGGATTTGCTCCCACCCCTCAACCCCTACAAGTGTTAGGCCTCAAAACCACAGTGACCTTCCCCTTCTCTTAAGGCAACATAGAAACCCTTACACTAGGTTAGAGAACTTGGTAATCCCCCATCAACTCTTTCACTTTGTTATAACATCATAATAAAGCCATCCAAAAGTTGCTTCCTAGCTATCAAAACACATGGCTGACAAAGAACACAGAAAATTTGTGCTGGAAAGGACCTAGGTCCAACCCACGCAACACCCTATTTTCCACAGTGTGCCAAACCTCTCTCATGTTTTAGGACTAAAAATCACAATATAAGAATACCACTTAAAAATCACTCTAGCAAACCCCTGAAACTACTGCTCTGAGAGTGATTTCTATGTCTTAAAGCTAAAAATGAGAAAAAGAAAGTTTTCTTAAATTAAGAAAATAGCTTAACTAATGGGGAGGGGGAATAATCTCCTTAAGCATCCACGCTCCAGCAGGTTTTCAGAGATAATCAATCACACAGGAGGAGACTGCCCACCTTTCTCCCACAAAGCAGCTAGAGGACTTGAACCATGTACCTTGAGGCTGGCAATGCAGATTCTTAGAGTGGTAAACCACCAGAGTTCTCTAGAGCATTATGCTCAAGAACTATCCATTATAGGAAGAAAGTAAGGACAGCAAACTACAAAGATTAGATAGGAAACTTATGGAGAAATGAGTTTATGTTAATGAAAGAGGAACAGCATAGAAAATGGTGAAAATGGCTACACAAGTCAACGTAACAAATGTCACTGAATTGTACATGCAGAAACTGTCAAATGGGTAAATATTTTGCCATGAATTATTCTCAACAATAACAAAATAATTTTTTAAAATCACTAACCAACTCTTTTCACATCATCAGTCTCTGATAAACTTAAAATTCTCTATTTGTTAGATGCCTTTAAGTCAACTACAATTCTTAGTTACCTGAGGAACAACACATCAAACCTTGCCCTCTCTCGTGCTCTGCTCTGCAGTCACTGCATCAATCTAGCTAATTTAGGGTCAGGCTGTATTTCGTTTTTTATTATTATAAATAATAATATTCATATTTTCAAGCTATGTTTCTTCTTTTACACAGAAATATTATCAATTTCAGTAGTAACATGACTAGTTAATTCCAAATAGTGGCATGACTAGGTCTTTAAAAACTGAGACTTTAGGTAAATTAGGGAGCTCTGGTGGCCTAGTGGTAAGAGCTGTGCAAGGGCACACGGTTCAAATCCAACAGCTGTTCCACAAGAGGAGGATGGGAAATCTCCTCCCATGCAATCTACCACCTCTAAAAATCTGCTTGAAGGTCAGCTGTGAGTCTGCTGCAACTCGATGGCACACAACAAGTATAAATTGCTTTCTAAATGGATTGTCTCTATTTGCAATGCATAAAATACCTTTTCATTCTATATGTCTATATGCAGAAGATATTATCCAGGAGGCTAGGCTCTATGAGGAGAAATGTGGCATCACGATTGGAGGAAAACTCATCAATGAGTTGTGCAGATGGCACAACCCTGCTTGCTGAAACTGAGGAGAACCTGAAGTGCTTGTTGCAGAAGATCAAGGACTGCAGGCTTAATGTGGATTGAAGCTCAACATGAAGAAAACAAAGATTCTCACCATTGGGCCGATTGGCAGCATCATCATAGATGGTGACGAGATTGAGACTGTTAATAGCTTTAGTTTGCTTGGCTCCACAATCAACACTCTTGGTACCAGCAGCCAGCAAATCA